GCCATCCACTCCTGCTGCAACTCCCTGGTTTGCCTTTTGGTCCTGTCCTGTCCTCTCTGACTGCTCTGCCCCTGGGTCCCTACCCCAGCTGCCTGCATCTGAGTGAGGTTCTTTCTCTGTGGCCCCCAGGCTCACCCCCAGGACTCCTGGGGCCCACCCCGGTAGCTGCACCCCCTGGTCTCAGCTCTTCCAACCTTGACATCCCCATCCGAGGCTAACGTTTGGGAGGGTAGGGCTGTCAAGGGTTTCTGCAGCCGCAGGTTAGTCCTTAATGGCTCAGGCTCCTTCCGTGGAAGTTCTTGGGGGCAGGTGGGGCAGAGGCAGATCTTGGTGGAGAGGACTGACCCTCTCTGAGCTTTCCTCCCAAGGTCTTAGGGTAGCTGAGTGGCCCTCACCCCCTCATTCTCTCAGGGTCTCCCCCTCACAACAAGATTAGATTTCTTTCAGCTAGAGTGGTGGGAGGCTGCCAATTGGGTACCCCCGGGGGCTCGCGGGGCTAGCGTGCCCAGAGAACCCTGAGGTCAGAGTTCAGAGGTTAAAGGTATGTCAGGGAATGGAAAAGGAGCAGATGACCCCATTTGACCTTTACCAGCGAGGTCTGAGGGTCCTGCCTTCAAGTGCAGAGCCCGGACATTCAGATGGGGCTGAACACACACCAAGCCACGGGGGCCCCTGAGGGGCAGGGGCTGGGAGGCCGGCCCCTGCTCAGCCTCCGGGGGACCCATCTAGGGAAGAAGCAATGCCAGCGCGGAGTGGGGGAGAGGCCAGTCATGGGACAGAGAAGAAGGGATGGGGGGGCTGGGGAGGGGGCTCGGGACCAGCGGGAGCAGCCCACCCACCACCACCTGCTGCCACTGGCCTTCAGAGGCAAAGTCCTCGTGGGAGGAGTGGGCGGGCGGCAGTGGGGGTCAGACCTTGTCCAGCAGGGAGCGCTGGCAATAGAGCAGTCGCTTGGGGGTCCCGTGGCGTCGGAAGAAGAAGACGGCGAGGCCCACCGCCAGCACCAGGAGCAGCAGCAGCACAGGCAGCACCACGGCGGCCGCGCTCACTGCTCCGCTGCCTTCCTCGTCCACCTCGATGATGATCACCTCCGTCTTCTCCTCAGTCCCCTCATCCGGCCGGCCCCCCGACGACGGGCAGCCCATCCAGTCCCGCAGGGCTGACTTGGGGTAGCCCGGCTCGACCTTCAGCTTCTGGTTGTTGAATTTCCAGTATTTGTTCCCCTTGTAGAAGTAAGTGAAGACTGCAAGGGTCAGCAAGAAGGCGGCACAGCAGATGAGAGGTGCGGGCAGCGTCCGGAGAAGAGGCAAAGAGAGGAGTGGGAGAGAATCCAGTCAGTGTGCGCGCCAGCTGAGGTAATCGCTCCGCTCTTCTGAGCATCAGTTTCCTCAGCTGTCAAACCAGGTAACTCTAGCACCAGGTTGAGAGAGTGGTGGGGATTAAGGGGTCCGAAGTGTGGAAAGCACTTACGCAGTGCCTGGCACATGGCAAGGGCTCCCCTGTCCTCCTCCTCATTATTTTCAACCCGATCCTCTCCGTCTTTCCTCCTGCTGTCTCTTAACTCCCTGTTCCGGTCCTCCCCTCACACACACCTCCTGTGCCCCTCTCACCTTCATCGCTGCCCATGAATGACCCTCTGGGAGACTCAGGGATTCCTTCCCAGACCTTGATGTTTTTGGGGTACTCGCTGTCCACCGCCCTGAGCTCCTCGTTGAAACGGTAGTACCTGGGGGAGAGGCAGGGAAGGGAAGTGGTTGGACACTGGGCATGTCCTCCAAGGGGAGTGGGACCCGGGACTGAATTCGCCGGTGAGCCAAGGGTGTCTGTGGATGGGGGCGGGGGGACAGGGGTTTTGAGTAATGAGGGCCTGCAGCTGAAAGCGGTGGAAGGTAGGGGTGGGAGGGAGGGCCCAGGCTGCAAGGAGCCACCAGCGGCCCTTAATGACAGTGCCTGGCAGCTGGGGCGGTGGCACAGGGCTGGGGGCAGGAGGCATCAAATGAGCAGGTCTGAAATGGTGACCCGGTCATACCCCACTCACTCAGCACCCAATGGAGGCTGCCCATTGCTAGGCAACAGCACAGGCTCAGCCAGCTTCTTCTCCAGGGAAACATTTCAGGGGGAAAGTAGGTCTTCCTCCAGAATTGAGGGAACCTGGTGGTGGTGTCTGAGGAGGAAGACCTGCGGCCCCGGGATTGAGGCCTTACTTGTTTCCCCGAAAGAAATAGGTCTTTCCGTTGGGCATCCAGAAGAGAGCAGCATCGATCTTGTCGGTAGGCAGTCCTCGACCCAGTTCCTTAATGTGCTTGGGGTAGCCAGGCTCCAGGGAAGCTTCGTCAAACACCCAGTGCTTGTCTCCTGGGGAGGAGAGGGAAGGGCAGGATCTGATTCCCCCTGGGCTCTACGGTCTTTGGAGGAGTCAGGTGGAATTTGCTCCTCCAGGGAGACCCTCCCCACACCCAGAGACTAAGGCAGAATGTCCGGTTACCTTTGAAGAAGACAAACTTGCCATCCTTCCTCTCATAGGCAGTGTTGATGGATGCAGGCAGGCCCCGCCAGAACTGGCCGATGGGCATGGGGTATCCATCCATCACCTGGTTTTTCCTCACCCGCCAGAACCAGCGCTCCTGGGAGGCAGTTCATTACATCTTTAGCTTTGTCCTCCAGCTCAGCCCCCAAAGCTCCCCCACTGCCTCAGTTTTAGGATTTAGTCCTGCTGCTGTTTCCACCCAGCCTCCCGGTCATGGAGCCCTTTTGTCCCCCACACCAGCCCACTTCTTCCTCTCACCTTGAAGACAAACATCTCCCCTCGGAGCATGGCCACGGTGTCAAAGTTCCCATCACAGATGTTGGGCCCATAGGTGGGATTTTTGGGCTTATCAGGGACAGAGGGCCTGGAGGTGGTCCTGGGTTGAGGGGGCATCTTGGTGGGGGACCCTGACTCGCTCCCTGCGGCAGAGAACACGAGGGGCACTTCAGACTTGGTGGCAGAGTAGGAAAAAAGGACAGACATATGGGCAGATAACACCTTTAGAGAGGTGTGGCTGGGCCTTTGCGGGAGGCTGAAGCAATCAGCTGGGAAAGGACAGGAAAGGTGGGGTCTTTTAAAAGTGGGAGCGGATGGAGGCAGGGTCAGGTGGGGGGGCCGGGGGAAGACTGCAGAGCACGAGGGAGGGGAAAATGCACAGGCCAGGGAGAACAGGAGAGGATAAGGGGCAGAGAGGAAGGAGCAGATGTGGGTGTAGATTACTTGCCATAAAGTTGCTGGATGCCCCGGCGGTCATCATCGGGCAGCACGAAGTTCTCTGTGTCCATCCACTGGTAAAAGGGTGCCATGATGGCCGAGGGATCATTGGAATGCTCAAGGCCCAGGGCATGGCCCAGCTCGTGCACAGCCACCAGAAAGATGTCATTCCCTGGAGGGATGGGGATGGTTATGATGGCAGCCTGGGTCTCTTCCCTCAGACTCCCTGCTTCCCCATGAGAAGCTTCAGGTTCACCACGAAGCCTGCCTGCCAAATTTTCCACCCAAAGTGACCAAATCCTGAGTTCCAGCCTCATATATGGCAGAGGAGGCAAAAGCCAGCCAGCAACTCTTCTGGGTAGAGGCGAGAGACTGTTCTGGGGCCGGATCCAAATCCCAGCAAGGATTGGGAAGCTGAGGTCCTATCTGGGCCTCAGTTTCTCCCAGGAGCCAGACATGACATTTGCCTGGAAAAGTGAGTGATGCAGATGCTCTGAAGTCTTTGACTGGGAAGTCAGTTATTGGGCGAGAGAAGGGACCAGATGTAAATAGCTCAAAACAGCATT